TAGATTAAACTAAATATTCAACGAATGTTTACAAATATATTATTAAACACATTGAAATTTTTTTAAAATTCATATTCAATTTTTAATCTAGAAACACTTAAACTAAAACTATTTGATATTGAAAAAGAAATTAAATATATTACTACTGTATCCCTTTCTTATTTATATCTAAAAATACATTATGATGCAAATATTTTTTTTACTTAAAATAATAACAAATGTTAATTTATTTCATAACTATTTTATTGATAGCAATTTTATTATTATAATAATTTATTTAATATTAACCAAGAATAATTAATTAAAATAAAATTACATCAACTAAAATATATTTTTTATTATAATCAACATCATTAATATAAAATGTTATTAATTTTGTATTGTTCTAATACTTAATTACTAAATTCTATTTGAACAATTTTATTAATATTAGAAATTAAATAATTAAAAAACTAAATAGAAATTCATAATATTATATAATAAAATCACATCAAATAATAAAGATTGTGTAATTTTTTATTAGAAGAAAAATTAAGAAAGAAATAATAAAAATGTAAAACAATTAATTAAAAATTATTAATAAAAAGAAGCATTGAAATTGCAAAGTATTATCGTAAAAAATTGTGTCCATTTGAGGTGGATCCCCACCCATAAAAAATTATAGGTCTCATATTTATGAAAATATTTATAAAAATATAGATAAAAATGTTGATTTATGGACATTTCTAAAAAAACAAAAAATCAATAACAAATAAATATTTCACATTTTTTAAATAAGTTAAAAATTATTAATATAAATAATATATCTATATTACTGATACTTTGTCGATATATTTTTTTATATTTTATCGATTTTCTTTTTTTCAAGATTATGAAAATATAGATTTCGATGTAGAACCTATGAACATATAGAAATGTCAATTAAATATTGACATGCCAACGAAAATTTAATTCTTTGGTCCAAGTCCAGATATTACTAAAGATCATATCCTTTCATAACATTGATTTGGCATGAGACCGACAAACAAGATACAAATAGAAAAATGAAATAAAATTTTTAGTTCAACAAAATGTAAGAGCACGGATGTAAATCTTCCGCCTCAAAGGAAGGGGTAGATAGGCTATGCTTGAGTAACGTATTATCTAACACGTCAGTAAAAAAATATCTCAAGAATGTTATTAAAGACAACATTTATATTGATACGAAGCTTTTGAGATAAGATTCAAAGGTAAAAAGTTTAAATTCCAATTTTCTCCTTAAACTTTCAAAATTATTTCATTTTGGTCTATGAATTTTTTTTACATGGAGGATCGAACTCACAACCTCTTGGTTGGAAATGCTCGGAGTGAATTTTGACCTTTGAATTTTTATAAAAAATAGTAATTTTCATTATTATCATTACATTTGAATATATTTGAACCACATAATTAGCTAAGTTAAGTATTGAGCCACAGAATAACATATGACTAATTGGTTGTCCTTAGAGTTTAGGAAATTTAAAAAGTATTAAGACAAAAATGGAATAAACCTCAAAGCTTAGAGACAAAATAAAATGTCAACTTAAGTAAATTATGCAGGCATATTACAGGCCCGTAATTGACAATATCTCATCCATCATTATCCTAATAATAAAGTAAGTAGTTTCCAACCTGCACATCAACTTGCCAATCTGAAAGCAGTTTCCTCATTTTTATTTTACCTTCGAGCATCAAACCAATGGATGATGAAGATGTTTCGACTTTCTAGGTTTATATATATATATATATATATATATATATATAAAATATGAGAAACCGAACTTTTCATTGAAAAACTAACAAAAAAATATGTATAAGGACATATAAAAAAACCAACCATACCACAGAAGGTCCAATTAAAGAAGAGCTCCAATCCAAAAGGATTACTCCTAACTGATAATTACAAAACAATTTCGAAACCGACCACCAAGGAAATATATTAAATCTAATGAGTTCCGAAACATACGGTGTAGCTCTCTCCATTCCTAAAGATTCTATAATTTCTCTCCATCCAAATCCCCACAAAAATAGCAAAGGAGTAATCCTGCCACAAAAATCTTCCATTTTTTCAAAAAGATGAGAACAAAAACACCTCTTCTAGCTAGCATAGCACGACAATCCCTATTGCAACCCTAGGACTCCTCAAAAATCTCAAAGAAACGACCCTAAATACCCTAGAAAAACTAACAATGCCATAAAATATGATCCAAGTCCCCCAAGACATCCTTACAAAGCATACACCACTGCAGCTCCAAATAGGTAGAAGAGCACCTCCGAATAAAATCCAAGGTGTTGACATTCCTGAGTAGACCTGCCACACAAAATTTTATCTTTTTCTAGTCGCTCCTAGCCTTTACGCAAACTATTAAACTAAACTAGATTAAAAGTTGAAATTTTGACTTAGAAAAGTTGTGAGGGGTGGATATAATATTTTGTTCGCTATTATTTGGAATATCTTGCTTGAGGGGTCTAATCTTTTGTAGGTATCTACCACAACCCTTCTAATTTTTCTGCAAGAAGCCTCCTCTCTCTCTATCTCTATCCGGATGCACGGATTGGGACGGTCAGAGAAAAGATAAGAGAGAGAAAGAAAGAAAGAAGGAAAGGGAATATTTCTAAGCATTAGAAGGATTTCTACCCAATTTGGTTATCCTTTGATTCCCAGTGGTAGAATGAATGAAAGGAATCAGAATGTTTTTAAGAGATGTGAATAGGACCTGTCATTCAGAGTCCAACTAACAGATCTCAAACTTTAAAGACTTCTTGAGATTGATTGATACCAGTACCCTCACAAAGCTGTGCCTGCATCATGTAAAGTTTTTTGGCATCAAATCTTTCAGATGGGACCTACTGAATATTGAAATCTTATACTACAAGGTGGGTCTAGCTTCTGAATTATTTTTGTCTCCAGTAACCTGCATTCTAGATAACTGTTCAAAGTTCATATTTACAATTATCTAGAAAAATTATCTCTCTAGCAGTTTTTGGACGGTTTGTTTTTCTTATCCCCCCAGTAACGCCCAAAATTCAAGTCTCAACTCTTAAGCCTACTGCAAAGAAGTACTAGCAATATATTTATCTAACTGCAGAAACAGTAAAGGGGTTCTAATTCTAAAATTTTGATGAATTCAGAGTCATAATGATAAGAAAAAGAAGTATTACATACACAGATATAGGAATGGATTTTATTCTCTTTAAGAAAATTGCACTATCAATGTAGGCCAAAAAGACAAAAGACGAGAAATTCCAACATCTTGTTTTATTTCAATTGGAAGTTTCATGTAGATATTTATTGCAATTTGCATGCGAGAGAAGAGTGCAAGAAGAACAAAAGAAAACATAGCCATAAATAGGAAAAAAAAAGAACAAAGACATCTCTGAAGATCTCTATCATCTGTGAGCAATACCAAAGACATGACAAGTAAATTTAGAATATTTGAATGAAAATATTGCAAAATTCATCAACAACAAGACTATGATAACTTTTTTCCCTGAAAAACGTGTGGAAATTTCAGCAGTTATTCATCCTGATTTGTGGAATTATTTCCTTTTCCTTCTAATCTCTTAGAAGCAGATTATGTCAGGATTGGCTTCTAAGGAAAAGTAGAACAGTACTTTAGGTCACACTTAATATTCGGATATGAATATGGAGAAGTCAATGGAAACTAGTGAGAGAGAATTAGATTTCATCATCATGTTTATCAAAATTATTTTAGAAATAAGACCAAAATGCAAAGTATCAGCAGTGATGTGAGAATCTACTTTAAATCGATGTAAGACCAAGAACAATATAGAAAGAATAAAAATTTTTAAAATAAAATAAAAAATCAGTAGGATCCATAAGAAATGAGGAATGGGATTAATATTCCCTATCCCCAAGAGAAATAAATTATAGGGAACTATCTCAAATTTAGAGCAGAGCCCACAATTACAAATTACTCACCATAATAAAGGGGCATAGGAGGGAGGAAAGATGACTCAGATCTTTAATTCTCACCCCAATGGAAATATTAAAAAAACTTGCTGCTTAATTTGACTTGTATAGTTTCCTTTCCTCTCCTTACGTGATTTTTCAAGGAACAGAATTAGAAAGAAAAAACTTATGTGAACTTTATTCATAATAAAGGAGCAATAACAATCCTCTTTGAGAAAACAAATGCAAATTGAACATCAATTCACTCGGAAACTTTGTAGAATTTCATTATCTCATTGGGAAATAATGACGAGAAAAATGAAGCAGCAAAGATTTGAAAGCAAGTACGTGGAATAAAATTTTAGAACATTTTTTTTCCTTATGATTGATTCATTCCGCATTTGGAAATAGCAGCAGCTCACTGCCCTTCAATTTATCTTTTAATTTGGCATTACAAATATGGGGAGAGCTTTTTTTTAGCCTACCCCTTGTAATGGAAGACATCGAAATCTCATATTTGTCCATTATCCTATCATGGAAGAGATTTGAACCACTTGAGCTATATTCAGATCGGTCCATTACCCTACATTGGTTTAACGAAAGTGGAACTACTGAGAGTGATGGGGAACAGTATGTATGTATCATGGACTCTCTTTGATTCAAGTAACAATTATTGAATGAGAATTGGCTTAATCTCCCTTTCATTTACTTCCCGCAGACCTATAACCTATTATGTAGTCATGGAACATTTTGCATTTGTCTGCTGATGCATGAATGTAATACAGCTTCAGATATGTACATATTATTGATGAATTCATGTATATCACTTTGTTTGTGTGTGTGTGTGTGTGGGGGTGGGGACGCTTCTTGTCATCATGTGCTAAAAAAGTATACTTATCTTCCACATTTTCCAAAGAGAGAGCGCACTTGGTCTCTAGGAAAGGAAGGGTTTTCATATCATCACATCCGAAAGACAAGATGGATTTCTTTGAGCTTTCGGTCGTCGGGAGGAGAAAAACTTTACCATACTTTTCAATGGATGTCAGGGGAAATCCGAATTTTCTCCAAAAAGAAGAAATTCCACAAGTCAAAAAGCCATGAAAGACAGAAAGGCATAGCTTGGAGAATAAAGCTAATGACCATTTGCATGTATGCGGAACCAAAAGATGATATCAAGATTTAGACAGGAAGGATAGTACTTTATTTTGATTAGTGAATATGACAATAGCATATAGAATCATGGAAATAATAATTTAGGATAAGGAGGGTGCCTAATTTAGGGATGCATCAAACAAAAATGCAATTTGATTAAATATCATTTTAGTTTGGTTAAATTACAACCTGGTCCATGAATTTTGATGGTTATGTATGTTTATTTAGTCTTTAAACTATTAAAAAAAAATTCACTACCTCCCTTAACTTTGAATTATGATCCTATGTATTTTTTTTCCAGAATACCATTAACTAAATAATGACGTTGGACGAACATTAATGGATTTCGCATGATATAGTAGACAGATGACAGAAACAAGTAGATAGCGCTTCAAAACAAAGAGACACGTGCAACATTCCTTCTTTCTTTAAAAAATAAATCAAATATTCTTTTTGGATCATATACTCTATTTTGTCCAACTATCCACTTCTCTTCATCACATTGCACCAAATCAATTAATGTTTGTCATTGTTAAGTTAGCGATATTACCAACAAAGCTACAAAGAATTATAATATAGAGTTAAGAGACAAGTTGAATTTGTAAGTTAACCTCTTATATTTAAGAAACCAATTTTGACAAGGTTGTTGTGCATAAAATTCCCACGTTTACAATCAAAATGAGATTGATGGGCATGGTGGAACTATTAAGTTGAGTCATGAGTGGAAGGTATCTTATATAGATGGTTATTGCCAACATGAAACCATTCACTTTTCCACAAATCAATCACTTGCATTGACATGAAGTTGACTTCAGATAATTAAAGAAATATTAGTTTTCAAAAGTATGAACTACGAATGCTGTAGAAAAAACACAAAATCAAAGAATCAAGGGAGTTATCTCTTACCACAGGAATGGAATGACACGTGAGGTTGGACGCTGGTCGGTGGGTCTGGTTTCCACTGATCAGATAAAAAGGAGACGAGGCTTCTGTTTCCTAGCCTTTTAAGCTCCCTTTGACCCAATCTTCTGGTTCTCTCTAACCTCTATAAAGACCCCTCGGGACAATCACATCCATTATAGCCCCATTTTCATCTAATCTATCATATGAAATTCAAAAGAATGGCTGCCATTTCCATCGATCCAAGGCTCAAACTCCAGATGCCCAAATCCCATCTCCAGTGTGCATCTACGGCAGAGGAGATTGAAGGGCTTATTCGAGTTTATGCAGATGGGCATGTCGAAAGGCCCCCAATCATCCCAAATGTACCCTGCAGCACCACAGCATCAAACAAAGGAGTGTCTGCAAAAGATGTTCTCATAGACAATTTCACAAACACTTGGGCGCGCATATACATTGCCAACTCTCAACGAAAGCTCCCCCTTCTTGTTTACTTCCATGGCGGTGGCTTTTGCGTTGGCTCCGCTGCCTGGAGCTGTTACCATGAGTTCCTCCTCGATCTAGCTTCCAAAGCAAAATGCGCAATCCTCTCCATCAACTACCGTCTTTCACCTGAAAATCGTCTCCCCGCCGCTTACGAGGACGGATTCAACGCGCTCATGTGGTTGAAACAGCAAGCAATCAGCGAGCCAAATGAACACAAATGGTGGTTAGGCAATTGCAATCCATCAAACTTGTTCCTCGCCGGCGACAGCGCCGGCGCTAACATAGCATACAACATCGCCACACGGCCAGGGCTCAACGAACCCGCAACCCTAAAACCTCTAACCCTAAAGGGCGTAATCCTGATCCAACCTTTCTTCGGCGGAGAATCGCGAACGAAATCAGAAAAGCTCGCCGCTCAGCCCTCCACCTCCGCGCTAACTCTTGCCACCGCCGACACATATTGGCGCCTGTCCCTGCCGCCGGGGGCCAGCCGCGACCATCCATGGAGCAACCCGCTGGTAAATGGCGGGACAAAGCTGAGAGATACGAAGCTTCCGCCGTCGATGGTGTGCATATCGGAGTTGGACATACTGGTGGACAGAAACTTGGAATTCTGTGCGGCCATGGCTGCCGCCGGGAAGAAAGTGGAGAGAGTGATTTTCAAAGGAGTTGGACATGGATTCCAAATTTTGAACAAAGACCAAATCTCCGCCATACGAACCCAAGAAATGATGGTTTCTATTCAGAATTTCATTCACCAAGTGGTCAAAATTTATTAGATGAATTGTGTGCTTTTTTAGTTTCCACCTGTGGTGAGTGATACATGTGGAGGTGAATTTTGTGTTAGAAATTAGTAAGATTAATACAATAGATTATATCCTAAATCTTAAAATATAGTTGAAATATCAAATATCAATCAAAATATTTATAGATAATTGATTATTTATCTACAAGGTGAACATCGATGGGTTGACGTTGGTTTTTTAGGCTCAAATAGATGTCGACCGATCTACATTAACGGTTGATCACTTTTGGCCAAAATCGATACAAAATAAAGCAAGTTGAGAACTTCGGGGTCCAATGATAAGAGAAGAAGAAAAAAACTCGTGAGAAAATAGGGAGTCAAGAAATTTGTGAGAAGGAGATGGAGAGGTAAAAGGGAAAGATATGTTTGAATAGATGGAGATGCTCAAATATATGCCGACCGAACTATGGTAACAATTGATCAATTTTGATAGAAATTGATACAAGATGAAGCAAGTTGAGAACTTTGCAATAGTGAGAGAATAAGAAAAAAACTCGAGAGGAAATGGAGAGCCAAGAAACTTGTTATTGAGGGACAGATGTGTTTGAATAGAAGGAACTGAAAAGTTTTGATAAAATAAAATTATGTTGACAAAATACCCTCTCGTTGAAGCAACGTATCAAATTTATCTTATAGACTATGTTGACAAATAAGTCAATGTTGTAAATCTTTGATTAGTGTTATGTTTAAACATTTTTATTATACAATAAACTATAAATCCAAAACCCGTCTGATAATGTTATCATTTCTAAATTTATTAAGAAATCAACGTATATAATAACTATTTATGTTTATGTTTCTCATTTTCTAGAAACATTTAAAGAAATATTAAAAAAGGTAAATACAAGCTTCTTGTCTCTGGTTCATTTTCTAATTTGTTCCAAAACATAAATAAGAATATATAAGAATATAGTTGTCAAACCGAGCATAGCTCAAATGGTTAAGACAGCTACCTATCTTTGATCAGAAGGTTATGAGTATAAAAAGGTTGATTGTTCGACAACAAGCTCCATAGATTGGTTTCATGATAAATATGAAATCATATTGAAACCAAAAGTCCTACATTGATTACGTAAGCGAAAGATCGTGAGTTTTATTGGTATGGAATCTTTTGGATGAAACCAAAAGTAAAATCACGATGACTTATAGCCAAAGCAATAATCCTCTACGAGTTAGATGGATGAATAAACATAAAAAAAAAAAAAAAAAAGAGAGACTAAAACACACATGTTCTTTTGTCTCTTCCTCTAATTTTCTCCCTTTTTGCCCCTCCCTCTATAATGTTTAGCCTCCTTCAAGTGCCTTTCCTTCTTCCGTCTACCTCAAAGCTAAGTTTATCTCTCCTCTTTCAAATTTTCATCTCTAGTTAAAGAGGTTCCTCACATACTATGTCTCTTTCTAACAAAACTGACCAATTCGGTTTTATAAGGCCTTCTGAAACCGCTCACCTCCGATTAAAAAAAATATGATAGATCATTTTTTGTATCGCTTTGTGCCTAAAACTGACCCGGACCGACAGGTGTTCACTTCTATATTTAGCCTACTACCTTTTTGCTAATTTATGTTCTACAATCTTTCTTTTGTATGTACTTTCTTATCAATGTCATCAAGAGGCCTGCAGCCTATAAGTCAATCAAGGCCCAACTTAAACCAAGCCCAAAATTCAAAGTTTGATGGGCTGATTAATTATTTGGGTTAAATATACAATTTTATTGGGCCAACCAAACCCAAAATTCAAACAAAAGGTAGGTTGTATAGGTGCGAATCATAGTTGAATTAAGTTCAAGTTGACTTTTAGTATATACGTTGATTGATACATCTATGAAATTCTAATGGTAAATATTAACCTTTAAAAGGTTAAAAAATAATTAACCTTTAAAATAGTGTCTCTCTTCATATTTTCTCTAAATTCAGATTTTTAGCACATTCAGTGCATGCTTTCCTTCCCTTTATATTCTTTCCCTTTGGTCTCTAAGACCTAATTATAGGTATACTTTTAAACTTATCAAGAGTTTCTCCAAGCTTTTTACTTTTCGAGAGATATATATATATATATATATATATAATTTTAGAAAATACTGTTTATCGTTCTTTTTCATTTTTTCAAATATATGTATAGAAACTCCATTATTTTTTTCTAATTCAAATTATATAATATTAAGCTCTTTTAACTCTTATAAATTATTTGTGAACTATATTTTCTTTTGAGGCAATTATATAGATATTATAAAATAATTATATATTTTAAAATTTATTTGAAAGCTTAAAAGTTTAAAAAATAGCCTAATTCAAATGTAATATAAAACACATCAGAAGTTTCAAGTATTAAATTTATGATATATTTAGAAAAGTAAAAAATTGTGACATTTCTAAATACATATTGAATTTTAAATAATGCTATGGAGTGAAATTTTTCTATTTTCTTAAATTTTTTAACAAGTACATAATATTTAATTTGTAGACAATGTTTACTAATTTATGTTTCAATCTCACTTTCTCTCTCTCTCGATTTAATAGTGCATTCTCTTTCCTATTTATTACTTTTTAAACTTTGTTAATTATCTACATTTTAAGTTTTGTTAAATATCTATTTTTAAATTTTTGTTTTTATTTGAAAATAGAGTTACAAATAAAAATAACATATTAAAATGGGTAACAAATAAAATATAATTATAATACTGATTAAATCCAAACAATTAGTTAACTATTTGAAAATAAAACTAAAAACAAAATGAAATTATCAAAATAAAATAAACAAACATTTTTTCTTATGGTTCAAATACAAATTTTATTTGTCCAGAGAAAGTGAAATAATAGTGACAATAAAAAAAGAAAAGTGAACATGTCAAATGCAAATTTGAGCTATAAAACCCGACCAAAAAAGAGTGGATTTGAATTCATATATAAGTTGTACTAAAAAGAAAGTTAAAAATGAAAAAAATGAAAAAAAATTAAATAATAATAATAAAAAAAGTAAAAAAAGATACAAAAAAATAAGTGAAGATGAAAAAAATAATGAAATAGAAAAAAAATAAATAATAAGTAGGAGAAATAATGTACCATTAAATTAAGAGAAAATATAAATTAAAGAGTGATTTATATATATATATTTTTATCTATATAATAATAAAGATACTTTCCACCTTACAGATTTTAGATGAAAGTCGTATCTTACGGAAAGCTTTCAAAATTAGGGAAGGACTGAAAATTTTGCCAAAATCTGATATTAAGAAAAGTATTTTTATTTCTTAGCCTCCCACGTCAGATTTCCCTCCCTCTATTGTGTTCCTAAACTGCCACATATTCGATCGAATCTAAGTTGGGTGGGCCCCAGCAATTTGTGGTCAAGAGAGAGCGAGTATTATATATTATTCCTACTCGCCAACTTAAGCCGCAAAAATTAAAATACTGACTTTTTAGTTTTTAGTGCACCAAATGGTTCCAAAAAGCCAAAGCCAAGCTGATAGAGATGGAAGTAATTCTTATCATTAATTTTACTTATTTTAGTTCATAATCCAATCTTCAACTTAAAAAAAGGGTAATTAATATTTTAACTATTAAGTCACGTTCAAATTCAGGATAAAAAAAAATTTTAGTGGTTTAAACCGTGCAACTAATATTTTGTTATTGCTTTTTGTCTTAAATTTTTTAGAAATATAAATGTTTGGTCTGAACATCTATAAAATTCTATCTCAAAATTAATTGACAGTTAGAGAAATAATCCGTATGTCTAAACTGCTTGTGATCCTATTTTTTTTTCTCTCATTTTAGAGATACATTCCTAAATTTGTGCATAAATTTTAAAACACAGAAAATAAATTTTCTTTTTTTTTTCATTTCTATTTTTTTAATAAGACAATTATTTTATTTTATTTAATAATAAAATGCATAATAAGTATTAAAAAATAAAGACATTAGAAAATTTAATTTAAAAAAATAATTTTTATTATGTAAGACTATTTTCCAAACGTATCTCTATTGAGAAAGAAACCATTACCAATCCAAGTACTACTTTTCTTTCTCAAAMTAGAGAAAATAAAAACCCAAAAAAATAAATAATAAACAACAGCGATAGATGAAAACTGAAATAAATGAATAGAACTGCGTGGGGCCGAGCGAGAAACATCCGAGTCATCGGTGGTCCCCACCACAAAGTGGTCGCGAGCCACAAGATAATACGTTACCTTTTACCAGCCACTAAATCCCCGCCACGTGGCCGAAACAGGATTCTGACCCCCCGTCTCCTCCTCCAAGTATGAAAAAGTAAAGAGCTCTCACACACGGAACACTCCAAGAGAAGAGCGATGCTGAAGACGGAAATCGAGTGCGGCGGCGGCGGCGGATGGGGGCTAATTTGCGAGGCGTGCGAGCGAGCTGCGGCGGTTGTGATCTGCAAGGCGGACGCGGCGTCGCTGTGCGGCGCGTGCGACGAGGAGATCCACTCGGCGAACCCACTGGCGCGGCGCCACCTCCGGGTGCGGCTCCCTGCGGCGGAGGAGGAGGAGGAAGCGGCGTCGTGGCTGGTGCTCAACAAGAACGAGAGGCAGAGCCTGTTCGGGGGATCGGAGGAGGAGGAGTTAGAAGATGGAGATGAAGAGGAGGAGTATTTGAAGTTGGTGGAGCTGGATGAGGAGTTCAAGGACGGTGGTTATGGCGGCGGAGGAGACGACAGCGTGGTGCCGGTTCCGCTCGATCAGTTGCACTTCCAGCACCACGGTTACGACATGTTCTCCGCCGAACCCGAGTTTCACTCCTTCACTAACGCCGCCTTCCTCACCCACCACTCCGTAATCTCTCCCATCCCTCTTTTATTTTGTCTCTCTACTCTCAAGATACTGTATTTTGAAAAAGTTACCATTTTTATTTATGTTTACAGAATTTTAACTCAAAATTTATACCGATGGAGTTCTTTACTATAAATTTATGACTGCATTTTAAATAATTTAGGATTTGTTCGAGAACATTTATGTTTATGTTTCTTTGTTCAGCATAAAGAAAATGAATTGTATGATATCAATTGAGTGTCATAAAACAATCATTTTATTTGTGTTTTGGAACAAATTGGAAACCGGAAGAAAATGTATGAGTTGTTTAAAAAATCTCTATACAATTTTGAGAATGTTTATCAAGAAACATAGTTGCAAAATATTTAGATTTCTTAAAAAGATTGAAAACGAGAATGTTACCAAACGAATCCTTAATAAGTCGTATTCAAATTATGATGAAAGTAAAATAAGATGACTTTGAAAATCAAGAATCTAAAAGGATTACTTTTTAAGTAGGGTGAGTAGAACAAAATAGAATTTAAACTTTGTAATCTTTATTATATTTTTGACAAGTATAAAAGAAGAAGAGAGATTTTTTATTTTTCTAAGTTACTTTTCAAGTTCTAAGTTTTTTTTTTTTTAAGGAAATCTAAGTATTGTTTATGTCCTTAATTTCATTATTTTAATGTTGTCACCACCAAATGTTTAAATTCCTAGACTCGTCATATAATATTTAAATAATTTAGTTTATCTGCTGAGCATTGATTAGATACAAAATTAAAATTTTTAAAATTTGTTTCAGACCATAAATTATTTCCCCCAAAAATTCTGAATCCAAACGGTGTGAATCAGGTGTCAGTGTCGTCAATGGAGGTGGGCGTGGTGCCGGATTCAACGACGACAACCGTGAGCGACATGTCGATTATTTCCAACGCGCGGCCGCCAAAAGGGACGATCGACCTGTTCTCCGGCACGGCGGCGATTCAGCTGAGTCCGACGGACAGAGAAGCCCGAGTTCTCCGCTACAGAGAGAAGAAGAAGACCAGAAAATTCGAGAAGACGATCCGATACGCCTCCAGAAAGGCCTACGCCGAGACCCGGCCCAGAATCAAGGGCCGGTTCGCCAAACGAACCGATGTCCAGGTCCAACTGGACCGGAAATTCTCCTCCAAACGAACCGATGCTGGGTATGGGATTGTGCCTTCCTTTTGAAGAACAAAGCTGGTTTAAGTTTAAGTACTAAATTACTAATTATAGTTAATTAAATTTTAACTGTTTCGAATATAGAATAATATTTTGCCTTGAATTGTATATTAATTTTTGTAATTATTTATACCGTTCAGTCTTGTTCATTTGTTGAAACTTTGCTCCTGAATATATGTTTGTAATATTTTTTTTCCAATTTATTTTTCTTATCAACTTTTAATTTGATATTCAACAATCCAATATTAGAATCTTTATTAAAATAAATGAGATGAATGGTCTTACCCATTCATATGGTAGTTGTGTTGGCCTAAAGGTAATTCGATGATTAAGACATCAATAATGTTTCTTATGAGTTGAAGACTTGAATTCCTTGTCTGCTGAAAAAACCATAGGAGTAATATGAGAATGAAATTTTAAAATGACATGCCTTGGTTCGAATCCTGGGCCTGGGGTGTTACAAATGGTATTAGAGTGGAATCTCTCTTAGTACGATGTGATTCGGGGACGAATCAAGGCGGAAGCTGGTGGGCATGTAACACCGGAGTAGAGGGGAGGGGTACATGAACCGATGCCACATCTGAATGAGAGAGATCCTGAGATCTTGAGAGAATGGTCAAAAAATGCTTAAAAGAATTGATAGTCACTGTGTATACTAACAATGTGCACATTTCTTTTCGGTAATTCAAAATGAGTATCAATTTAGAAAAAGAGATGATATACGATTAATCAATTGAAGGCACTAGTAAGGACACAATCACATTAAAAATGAGGAGGAACTTTATAATGAAAATAAAGGGCTCTTGTGCAATATTGAGAATATGTTGGTATTTGCTTTCCACCATAAAATTTTGTCTAGGATTGCCAAAACAAAAGAATTGATGAACAACACTTTACTTATGATCGAAAAGAAAGTATCAAATGCAAGTTTAGACACATCATCAGATGAATCCTGTTAGAAAACAAAAACTTTAATATAGGATCAATGCATGGGAGTAGGCTAAAGAACTATAAGTTATTATTTCGAATTACCTTGATCCATGAGTAGAGATTCCAAATTCCTGTAGCAATATCTATGTGGTTTGGGTCTTCCTCAACTATGCAGCTTTAGACCAAAGATAAGCAATAGTCTCTATTAGATGGAGAATAAGAGACGAAAGGAGCATAGTTGATTCTAGGGTTTCCCATAATCCCCTGGATCAACCAGCTGTTATCTGCCCAGCGGGCCACACCAAGGAAGTTTATGCGTCCTAATTAGACTACTTATTTTTTCCAGGAATAGTAGTACATTTAATTTATCATAATTTGTTACCCATTTAATGGAAATTAATTCCAACACATCCAAGTAAATTATGTATACTAGAGTTGGAAAATAAGAATGATTGGGATAGTTACAAATGAAAAAAGGACCCCAAATATCTGCATTACTAAAAAAAAAGTTAACTAAGGATATTTTTAAAATGTAACATACCTTCTCAAACATACCTTATGTTATCCCATGAAATGAGATTGATTTAGCATCTTCTCGCTACAAGAATTTCAATCTTTGGCAACGACCGTAAAATTCATCGTCATTTTCGAAAATTCAGACTTTCGACGATGAAAATTATTTTCGTTGTCGAAAGTTCCATTTGACGATGAACATTTTACGGTCATCGCCAAAGATTGGAGGAGTTTGGATCACTGATAGGCTTTTTTTCGACGGCGAATGAAGTTTTCGTTGGCGAAAGTTCCCTTCGACGACAACGAGAGAAAAAGTGATCTCTTACTTATTCTTGGTCAAAAATTGAGTGAAAAGCATGCTAAACATATAGTTTTAGTGACTTTCTTGTAGAAAAGTTGAGTTTTGATTTATTTTGCATTTATCTTATTTCTTTTACTCAGTTAAAACGTTTATTGTTGCTCCTTGTTTTGAAGCTTAAGGATTTGGGAAAGAAAAAAGGTATGCTAGAGTGTTGTTGATGCAGCATCATGTAGCATTAGGGACGTTCACGAATTGAGTTAATCATTTCAATTTTATTTTAATCACATTTTTTTTCCTCATTTTACTATGACATGTTAAGAAGTGGATAAAAAAAGAGAAAAAATAAAATAAAATAAAAGAGGAGTAAAGACTTTGGGCCATGAAAAGGCCCCAACTTTAGTTGTCCTATTTCTGTCTTCACATATATATATGTTGCTATTATATTTTTGTGCGGTGGCCGTGGAAAATAAAAAGTACCGTTTGCAGCAGGTTTTTGGGTGATTTTACAGCAATTTCGTGACAGCGTTCGGGTTGTTGGCTGTAGAAAGGACAAATCGAGATCGATATTTTGGTATAATTTGTTCTCGATTATTCTGTGAGTTTTTCATTACTAAGAAATTGTATTAGATTGCTTAGAACCTACGAGGTTTTTGTTGGGGCTTATAGAGATATTTTGGAGGAGAGTTTATTGTAATCCAATTCTTGACAATACTCACATCTAAGAGTGGAAAATTAGTTAGTGAACCAGTATAATTTCTTCACCTGTGTCGTATTCTTGTGTTTTACAATTTCTTCCTTATTTGCATATTGTGGTGTGTGTTTGGATATTCCTATGGAAGGAGAAATTATTCATGGTCATTAACTTCCCAACATGATACTCCGCTCATAAAATTTCTAGAAATGTAGCCAATAAATTGTATAAAAGAGTTTCTATTTGGTATAAAAATTTAGGTTATAATTTCGCAAACAGGGATCACAATGATAACTTTTTAAAAATATATAGACCCAAAATATACGTTTTAGGAGTATAGAAACTAAAATGAAGAAAAGTTGAAAGTAGGGTTAAAAAACAAACTAAAATCAAGAGTTAGATAACTAAAATAACATTTAAACCTAAACATATTAAAATAATAATAAAAGGAGTGGTAACTGGGAAATACTTTCTCAATCTCTATCACTAAAATTAATTAATTGAGAAAAAAAAAAACTACTCTCTCTGTGGGACATTTTATGTTGATAAAGCCCCATATTACAAAGTTTAATGTAATAATGTCGTATCCTTGAGTAGTGGAAGCTTTATGTAATCCCATTATTGATGGAATCTTGACTGTATTTCACGAATTTATTAATTTTGATTTGTTCACTGGTGAGATGAAAATTTATTAATTTTGATTTGTTAGATTGGTGGATTAAAATCCTATAATTTGGTACGTTGGATAATATTTTGTTTCTTGTTTCTTCGATTCTTATGGTTTTAAAAGTATAAAACATTTGATAACTATCATTATTTCTCATTTTAACAACAAAATTAACTTTTCCTTATTTATTGTTCATGTTTTTAATTTCTTACAAAAACATGAATAAAAAATTATTTTATCATTTTTTATTTATAAAATACATAATAGATATTAAAATATAAAATTTGAAAATTTAATTTGTTTAATTTAAGATTTTAAATACCGAAAAATAAAAAACAATTATCAAATATATTTATTATTTTTTTAAATAAGAAACAGATTATTAAACACGATTCTATTTTAATTTATTAAAAAAAGAGAAACAAAATAATAAGATATAAGAAACAAAATTATTTTAATGACTAGTGTTGACTTTTCTATTAGCTATTTAATTTTAAAATTGAATTCATTTTGGTACAAATACCCAACCTACTACATATAGATATAACTTTAATTTAAATCTTTTTTTAATGAGTATAATCTATGTGATTATTATAAGCTTGTTTACCAATTCCTTTCTTTCGTAGAAACCAAGATATCTACATATATAACTTAGTTAAACAAAAGAAATGTTATGGTTTCCAAAAATAGAATACTAAAGACAAAATTAGTTTGTTTTTTCAAAATTTGCTATGATTTCAAAAGGAAAAAAAAAAGTTTTTCTTTAGGGAAAAAAAAAGTTCTATCATGAACCCTTTATTTTTTAAAATATATAATAAAATTATTGTGTCCTATATATATGGCCTTTAATAATGAAAGCTCCTTCCTTTATTCCCATAGTAAAGGATATTATTATTATTATTATTATTATTATATATTATTATTATATATTATTATTATTATTTATTTATTTATTTTTTTGAAAGTTGGTGCTTTATTTTTGGTTGATGTCTACACTCTCCCTAACTTGACCAACATTTTACCTTGTAAATGATTTTGTCTCAAAAGCAATTTCCAAGGCTCCCAAAAGACTCCCTCTTCCATTGGACTTCACAAATCACCTAGCTAGTTAATTACTTAGCTTCAAGGTTAAAAATAACTTAAAATAAAATAAAATTTTCATACCTTACTAAAAATAATATTCAAATAGATTATGTTTCTTGATCGAGGGAGAGAAGATTCGAATCTCTAACTTATAAAAAGAGACAATATAATAAATAATACTTAACTATTTGTCTAGATCATCGTATCAACTGATTTTATTAAAAAAAAAACTGATTTGAATTAATTTAGGCCTTGTTTATAATCATTTTATTATTTATTTTATATTTTTAAGAATTAAAACATTACTTTCACCTCTACTTGTAACTATATCATTTTTTAAATATTTTCAATTCAAATATGTTCAGTTGAAAACTTAAAGAYATAAAACTAAAAGCGAAATAGTTATCAAACGTATAGCATATCATTTTTAAAAATTACTTCTATATATCTGATCAAGCACGTTAAAAAAGTTTCAAAAACTTCACGGATCAAAGTGTATATATTACATATGTACCCATCAAATTTACCATCAAAATTTGCTAAGAAAATGATGAGGAGAGATCACATGAAAAACCCTCACAAACAGATCACAAATAACACCCCAAAAAGGGAAAGAAGTATCAAAAGAGAAGAAGAAGAAGAAAACCAGAAGCTTTACAGAGTCACACCGTTGTGTGCTTGGCAAAGAAGGTAGGGTTATCATCTCCAGCCATGATGACAACAATCGTTGGGTTGGAATCCTCGTCGTGGCAACGGGGGGCAGCGTTGTCGGGCTTTTGTTCGGGTTCGGCATCGGGGTCGGAATGAGAGGAGGAATGCAAGTAGGAGCAAGAGAGGACGAGTAATGCCATGGCGATGAGGCCCAGAACGAGGGCCAAGCCAGTGAAGAGATAAGGGATTGGGGAGTGCCAGTTTCCAAAACCTGCTTCTATGGCGGATGTGGAGTTTCTTGGAGTTGTTGTTGAAGTTGCAGGCCTCATTTTTTTCTCTCTTTTTGTGAATTGGGATTTGGTGTCTATGTTTTCATTCTGCAAAATTTGGCATCATTTAGGCTTCCATCATGGTTGTATTTATAGCAACTCAATTATTTGGTGGATTTTACCCATATGCCCCTTTTAAGCCATCCACATGGATGAATGAGTAACTCCAACTTAGCTCAACAATTATGCCATGAGTAACATTTTATAGAGGTTTAAGATGTGCGAGTTTGGCTTCTATTAAATCTTGATCCATATTTCGGATTTCGGGAGGAGTTGTCGAGCCTGAGTTTAATTGGAGAACCAAGCGAGCTTGAATACTCCCATTTTCAACATAATTTTCAAAGTTTCATATCGGCTAGATAAGGAGAAGATCATGAATATAGAATCGAGAGACGACATCTCAGTTGATTTTAGTCTTTTTAGGTGAAAAAAAAAGTGTTTTAAGTCCCGAGTGGGCGATATCAAGAGTCATTCAAATCCACCATCTTCAAAGAGTTTGCTAATAAAATGATTGAGCTACCTTCACGTTGATACCAATTAATTAAGGGGTGGGGATCATATGGATTCGATGGTTTCGTATGTGTCTAAAGACACTTTTAAAATCTAGATTTAAATGTTATTTTGGTCCTGTGCTATTTTATCTTTATACTTCTAAAACGTTGATTTTAATCTATGTATTTTAGTCTCGTCATTTTTTATTTATAACAATTTCAATCTGACACTATATTCAATAAATTATTTTTCAAATGTAGTGGTAATTTTGTATTAAAGGATTTTCGTTGTATATATAATTTGTGGTCAAATTTGACAAAACTAGATCAAAATGAACACTTTTTAAAAAAGTATAGAGACCAAAATGGTCAATTATTTGAAAGTATATATATAGACCAAAAAAATGAACAAAAATTAAATGTACTAAAATGATATTTTGAAAGTGAAATAAATCAAATCTAAAAGAATACCTCGACCAAAATAGTATTTAAGAGGTACTTAAAAATCGTATTTCTCAAACACAATCCAAATGATCATATGCATATTGATAAAGAATAGATAAAATNGAAAATTTTACGATTAGAATTTTTTTAACTATAATTCAACTAGTTAAAATATTAATAATTAGTAATTTTATTAAGGTGAAGATTTGAATCCACTATATATATTTGTAATGATATATATTCTTTAAAAAAAAAGGTGAAATTTATAAACCAGAAGGTGGTTTAATCATGCAAATAGTGAATCTAGTTATTTTCAAGTGAAGGGTATTTTTGGAAATAAGAATTAAATACAAAAGTATACATGAATTCTTGATGAAGATACCAAAAAAGAGGGGAAAAAAAAGTTAAAGACGACAGTCTCACACTGATTGCTTTAGCTTATCCTTACTTTATGAAATTAAAAAAGGGCCCACAAATTTGTTTATTTAATTCATTGATTAATTAATTAGAAATGGTACTCCAATTTGAGACAAATGCTTTATTATTATTATTATTATTATTTTTGAAGTTTATTTTCCTCATTTAATCCATCAGATGGAAGATTTAAAATAACAAGCAAACTCCCCTTTTTTCCTTCAAGAATTAAAGATTCTTTTTCTTTTCCTTTTGTTTTTTGAGGAAAAAGAAAAATGCTTTTAAGCATGACACAAGGACTTGCAAAGTTCATATAATTTAGGTCCTTTGTAAGAAATTTCTAAGGACTAAAATAATGGTATCAAATAATTTAGCAGTTTCATGAGGTATAGGCGTTTGAATCCCTTTCCATTCATTTGTACTATATATTAGTCGAGGATTTTGAAGATCTTCCAACAGTTTAGAACCCAAAATTTAATTTTGTTTGATTCGAGAACAAGTTCATCGACAATGAAATTTCTCGAGAGAGTTATATTTACAATTTCTTTTATAAACATAATATCAATAAAATATTTTTAAAAGATTAATCTAACCAACTAAATTTAAATGAGTTTTAGACCTCCTTTGGATTATATTATTCCTTCATTCTCAATCTTTAGAAACATATCCTAAAAATGAATTAAGGTTTCGTGTTCAAAGATGGTAATCCTTTTTTCCTTTTTTATATATGAAGATGGTAAAAAAAATTTCTATTAAAATTTTGATGGAAATATTTATAGAATGTCAATATTAATAGATATTTTTAGAAATATTATAAAAAAAATCGTAAGAAATATTTAAATTAACATATGAGCATTTCACCATTTTTAAATAAGTTAAAAACGATTAATATTAAATTCAAATCTATATTTTTTTAAAAGAATATTATGTTTATATTAGTGATGTTTTGTTGGTATTTTCCTTGTTTTTTGTTTTCAGAAACACAAAGTTTGATAACTGTTCATATTTTTCATTTTTTATCTTTAAGAAATGTTTGAACAACAAAATCAAGTTTCTTGTTTCTAGTTCTCATTTCCAGTTGTTTTCACAGTATAAACATAAATATTACCTTATCATTCTTGACTTATAAAATGCATAATAAATATTAAAAAAGTAAATATAACATAACAATTTAATATTTGATTAAAAACTAATTTTTATATTATAAAAAAATTTATTTATTTTACTTAAAATTGTAATGAGCGAAAACAAGAAATGGTTAACAAATATATTTATATTTCTTTTTTAAATAGAAAGAAGATACAAGAAACAAGAATCACAGTTATCAAACACCATTTTTATTTATTAAAAAAAATGAAAAAGGTATCAAATAAGTCCTTATCCATTCACAAGAGAAACACAATAATGTTCTTAACTCCTTATATACTATTATTAGACAAACAAAAAACTTAGAATCATTGAGAAGTAGAGAGTTTGCATTAGGGGAAACAGGAAAATTAATTAATAAATGGAGAATATAGTGTATTGGGTAGTAGTAAAAAGTTGTGATCATATATTATAATTACTTTATATTCAAATTGGATGGGAGAGTGGAAAATGTGTCAGCAGGCACAAATTAAGAGTGTTTCAATTATTTATGTGGGCGCAAATGGGATAAGAAAATGGTGGATATACACCAAGTGAAAATTGTTGGCCAACATATATAGTTTTTTAATATAATGTTTTTCTTTGATATCTTTTTTTAATATAATGTTGGATATGAAGAGAGAGAGAGAGAGGTTTGGTAGTAAAAGAAGGGTGGAGAGTGGGTGAAGGGGGAGTAGATTTTTGGAAAATTTTGTCCACTAAAAGTTGAACATCATCATCTTGTATTGGGAAGATGAATTTGGAGGCATATCCAATTTAGCCCTTTCAAATTTTCATACTGGTACGTAATTTGGATTCTATTTCTTGTTTTGATATTCCTGGAATCAAATCGATTCAATGAGTATTGTGTTTGGCATAATTCTATTTAAAATCTTAACTTGTGGTAAAATTAAAACATGTAAAATATAAAAAAGGTGAAAAATAGAAAAGAAGTACCAAAGAGTCTTTGTAGTCTAGTTGGCCGAACTATCGAGGCAAGTTAGAGCAACAACCTATAGCATAGTCAACTTGGCCGCCTATTAATTCAAGCTCGCCACTCAAATCCACCTAAGCTACAAATGACTTAACCACGTTCTAAAAATGAAGGGAGGGGTATAGAAGAACCTAGAGATAGGCGAATTCCAATATTATGACAATTTTCTTAAAAATGAGTCACGTATGTCTGACCACTAGAACCCTATAATACTTGCTTTCTTTGTTGTTTAGATTCAATGATGATTTAACATAGTATCAGAAAAAAAAAGTTATTGTGTTCGAACTCCTGTAATGTTATATCCTCTCAAATTGATATTTATTGTCACTTTGTTTGGATTTTGTACAAATTTCAAGCCCACAAATAAAACAGGAGTGTCAAAAATTGATAAAAGGTTAAATTTACTACAACTCACCCACTTAAAACTTTTGGACCGATGTGGTGATTTAGCTCAATCGATTAATATGTATAGACAATCTTTTAAAGCTAATCACATGACGCTTGATGTCTAAGAAGATGCCTCAAACATAAACTTGTTCATGATACTTGTTGGCTAAAGGCACATGGCCTAGGATGTAAATAAGGTACACCTCTGCTAAGCATACTCAGCTTGAAACCTTATCTTTTAACTCCATACGTATAATAGCATGTTTTAACCCCCAACATTATCATGATACAACTTCGTCAAAACACAAGCCTAAATAGAATAAAAATGCCACCTAAAATGAAAATCAAAATATGTCAGGGACATACAGACTCACATATTTCTATAATAGTTTGATATTGTTTGTGTTGATGTAAAAATATGTCCAAATGTCCTGGAGCGATCTGTGTTGGGCCTTAGCAAGTTGTTGTGGAGCGAGCTGAGTAGGAAATGTCTCCCTAGCGAACTGAAGTGTAGCAAGCTCGAGAGGGAAGACCTCTCGACCTAGCTGACACGAAGCGAGTTGGAGAAGGAAGACCTGCAAAAATAGGTAAGGCACTTCGACGCTTAAGTTAGTATATGTTCGAGCTGGGCAGATCAACTTTGGACATATTTGCATACCTTATGGGGTGGAGTGGTGGTGTATTTATGAGGGATGAGAGGGTAGTTACCTATCCCATCAACTGTAGGATTGTTCCAAGGTTGTTTAACCACTCTTTACTGTTAAACAAGATTGTCGGATATTACAACTTGAGGGGCTTGAGCTCGATGATAGATGAGTCTAACAGCTTGGCAGTAGATGAGCTTAGGAGAGCTCGACTGTGGATAAGCCTAATAGTTCGACCGTAGATGATCTTGGGAGTTCGACCGTAGTTGAGCTTATGAGCTCTTCTGTAGATGAGTTTAAGAGCTCTTATGTAGATGAGCCTGGGAGCTTGGCGGTATATGAGCTTAGGAGCTCTTTCTAGAGGAGCTTAAGAGCTTTTCCATATAGTAGCTTAAGAGCTATTCAGTAGATGAGCTTGGGAGCTCGGCAGTAGATGAGCTTAGTAGCTCTTCCGTAGATGAGTTTAGGAGCTCGGCCATATCTTGCCACGTGGTAGGTCAT